TGTCATGATGTGCTACATTACATTTGTACGGATCTGGCAGCTTTTAACAAAGCACGTCTAACAAAGTGCTGACTAAGCAGGAACATTATTCAAATCTCTGTCCCTTGTTTGGCCAGAGCTGGCTGGTGTATGATTGACCAGTTCTTCAAGCACTCAGGTGCTGCTGGAGCCTTAGAGCAGGGTGAGGCCATTCCGTGTGCTTCGCCCACACCGAGCAGGAATGTGGTTATTGCTCGTTTGCAGTGTGATGGCAGTGCTGATGTGACAGGATTACTGAATTTGCTCCTCTGCTTTCTGGATCACTTTCTCAGTTTTTCTGCTGGAACAGATGGAGTGATACATAAAACACTCTCGAAGTTTATTTTGTGTAGTGCCTTGGTGAAAAAAAAATTTTTGTTTGACTTGATGTGCACTTGCAGAATAATCAAATCTGTAGAAATGCATTTTTGCCCACCGAGAGACCTGTAATGTCTTCTTTTTCTGTCTTGGGGGATTTTGGATTCATTTTTCCCCAATGTTCATGTCAACTCTAATCACAAGCATGGAACCTCAACAGAAATGAAACTGTTTACATTAAAGACTACTGTATTCTCAAACCAAAGGTGAAGAATGTAAAGCTATAACTGAACAGGTGTGATTCATATACTCCATCATTAATGCATTTTTGAATGAAAACCTCTGTTGGGACCAATGTAATTGTTTAAAGGTGCGTGGGTGATTTTGCAGCAACTTTAGATGTGTTCCAAGGTAGGTCTTGCACAAATCCCTTTTGAAATGCTGTTTGCCTCTAGGAATAAAAGGGACATGTGAGCTGTGTAATTGCTTGCTAGCCATGCAGTGAGGCAGTACCCTCCTAGACACAGACATGGGCACACCTCTTTATCTCTGAGCTCCCATCAACGTGGATGCAAACAGCTGACACGTAAGCCTCTTGGCTGTGTGCTGAAGAGGTGGTGCTGGAAAAGTACTCCTACTGGAAGTACTATCTCCAGTGTGCCCTAACTATTCCTTTTGCAGAGTTTGGGGTAAGTGGTATACATTACTTTAAACTGATGTGCTTGTGGATTGTCTGATTAGGGGGGCATGTTCAGAATTCCTGAATTTTACACTGTGTGTATATATACATGTTCTTATTTGCAGATACATGCTTTTGGTTTTTTTGGCTTGTGTTACTCCCCCATGTATATTCATGTCTTTTGCCTTTGTCCTTTTTCCTCCTGTCCATCAGCTCAGTAGCAGCAGAAGAGTTGCATGTTTTGTGTAAGGCCAGTTCAGGAAGCATATCACCTATTCCCATACTACACAGGGGAAATCCTGCATGACAAGCCAATTTCCTTAATTTATGCAGGAGCAAATCTGCCATAGTCTGGAATGTTTTATCACACAATAGTGCTGTGATATCTGTGTCCCAGAGGCAAAAAGATGAACCCATTAACACTGATGTCTGTAATGTGAAAGTATCTCAGACTAGGAAATGAAGGGAACAAGAGGAGCACTTGATTTGGAGAGAATCCCTTCTTGATAAGGCCTGGTCTGTGTGTGTGTATGTGTGTGGAGGCTCCAGAGCAGCAGCTGTACAGGCACAGCTCCAGTGCTGGGTGTGGGGGTCCTGTCAGCCATGGAAAAGGCCGGTGGAGCTTTTCCAACACTTGTTCATAGCTCTTGTCCGTCTGCATACCAGGCAAAGTGCAAAGCCAGAGCTGAATGGGATTTCAGGAGGGATTTACAATAGGCAAAACTCTGGAGAGCTTGACGTGGAGCTTAAAACTGTGCAATTAGTATTGTTTTGTTTTGTTTTTTTTTTTTTAACCAAAGAGTTCTTACTTTTAGAAGCAAGATTTGGGAACAATTTTCTTTTGGTGACCTGGTGAATTCTAATTGTATAATTAGTTTTTTCAGAATTTTCCTTTTCTACCTCCTACTCTGCTGATATACGAGGTGTGGAAAAGTGGAAGGAAAGACTGGAAAATGTGAAGCTATAAAGCCTAATTAAAAAAAAAAAAGGCAAAATTAGAAGAAAAAAATGGGATGGAATTTAGCAACAGGGCCATGATTTTTAAAAACTTCACAGCAGTTTTTGATGTGAATATACTTTGCAGTGAATATATTCTTATTTCTGTTATGTGAAACTGAATGTGTCTGGACACTAGGACTGCAGGTCTCGGAAGTGGAGGGTGGAGATCACTTTTTAAATATTTGTACAGGGAGGAGAACAAGGCTTGAAACTGCTATGAAAATAGCTCTTTACATGTCTCCGAGGATAGGTTAACTGTGCAGGGTTTCACAAGAACCACTCCCTGGAGATATTTGAATAATAGATTGACATTATAGGGTGCAGTGAGAGGTGTGTGCATTTTAAAACCAAAGGAGAAAATTTCCTTTTCAAGCAAATATTTTAGAAGGCGTTTTTTGAACCCTTCCTGTGAAGGGTTCCTCACCCTGTGTCAGTCTGTTTGAAATTGTGTTTTGTACCAACCACAGGGAGAATTGAGTGGGCCAAATGATGAAGTGTGTTTGTCCCGAAAGACACTTTACAAATCAGATATGACACTAGGAATACCTTTAGGTTTTACTTCCCCAAGGTCTAATCTTGACCTTTACTGTTCTGGCCAGAGCTGTCACACAGCCCTGTCCAGTGGAAGGTGCAGCTGAACTGTAACAGTTCCCTACAGCTCCGTGGCACAGCTGCAGTGCCCTTCCTTCCTCTGTGCACAGGGTGCGTGGTAAATCAGCAGTGGTCAGCTGCTGTCATTGGTACTTGTTATTAAAGTATGTTCTGTACACCTAGAGCCACCCAACAGGACAAGGCAAATACCTCTGTGCAGGTGGCATAGCACAGTAAAAGGCATGAAGCAAGCTTGTTTTAGTGTAATACTGGCCCTAAGATTTACAGCTAAGTCTTTTAAAGCAACAATTAATTTAGGGATCTTGAGACTGAAAGAACATGTGCTTGAGTAGATGAGCTTACACAGCTCTTAGCCCTTTGAGAACATGAGGGCACAGGAAACGCCATGTGTGAGATGGAAGTCTAAATCAAATGCAGTCTTTAGAAAAATTAATCTCTGTTTTTTAAAATACTTTTCCTTCTGGTACATTTCAATGAAGAGACTTGGGTAGAGCTACAGGGTAGGTGATCTGGTTTTACTTTTTTCCTTTGCCAACAGGGGAGAGGATTTTAAAAATGAAAAAAAGCCCCCCCCCCCCCAAATTATTTTTGCTGATACATGTGAGTGTATCTAATGGATCAGGGTTCTTAATTTCTTCTGAAAACATTCTTATGTCAGTATTTGGGCTGCCTGTTCAACGTGCTTGATTATGCTGCTCCTTCAGACCTAGGTGGTGGATGCAGCCCTGCAGTTGTGGTGCATTTATATAGAAAGCTGACTCTTGCTGCTGGAGTCTCCCTCTCCGCCTTCTACTCTATTGCAAAACTTTGGTTAAAACACAACAGTAGGATGTGAATTAGCTGGCTGTGGCATAGGTAGGGAGTGTGAACTCTGTCACCTAAACCCTCTTCCTGCAAGCTTTTACTGGCATTGATGGCATTATGTGAAATAGGCATTGGCTGGGAAAGAGAGACTTCAGTGCTTTTCAAAAAGGGAAAAAGTGTCAGCTGCTTTCCACTGACTCTTCAGGTGGAGAATATCTGGGGTAAATCTGACCAGTGTCTGCTTTTTAGTAAGCTCCTTATGGCCACATCAACCAGACACAGTTCTGACTTGTAATCAAGAGCGGCACAATTATAAAGGTGTGAAGCTTTTACGATGGTTACAGTTTGAGCTGAATGGTGGTGATTGACGCCCACATGCTGGAGACACAGTTTTTTCTAGACCTCAAGCTGTGAGTTGATATTCAAGAAATGAATTGGTGTTTTGCCATTGATGCAAACTACTGCAGTGTTTGACTTGAAATTAATATCTTTATCTAGTTCAAACTACAAGTAATTCCAAAAATACTTACAGTTGAAACAGCAGATATTACTCTGAAAATTTTATTTCCTCATCTATTTTTTTTTTTTTTTTTTGTATTCTTGGCATCTTTTACTGTCCTTCATATGAGGCAATTTTATGCTGGTTTTCTGTTGCTTTTAGAGTGGTTATTTTAGGCTTATCTTTTCATGTTCGTGTCTTTGAACACAGTACCGGGCAGCTCTCTACTGTTTGTTTTGGGGGAGGGAGGCTCAGTAGCTACTCAACAGGAAAGTGCCTGTGCACTTACATCAGCTTTTATAGTACACGTGAAATTTGCCAGTGATTTTTGTTACACATTTTAGTTGTTCTTGCACGTAGATCAGACTGTAGAGAATATGGTTATTTTTTAAAAAGCAGAAAAAAGAGAAATTTCTTAAATGTGTAATGAACCATGGAAAAATGTGTGTGTTTGCTTAATGTCAATTTAGGATCAAGATTTAGTTTGAATGGCTAGCTAGCATCACAACAAAAACTTTAAAAGTAGGAGATTCTTCCTTAAAACAAAAAACTCAACGACAAGAAAAAAGTCTTATTCAAGACTAAAAAATAGCTATTAATAGAATATTATTGTAAATTTTGTTTAAATATAGTGGACAGTCCAGGAAATTTTTTTCATATATTACTAATTCCATAGTGAGTATGAGAACAGAATTGCGTTGCTAGTGCAATTAAATAGCTTTTGCCATCTTCCAGGAGGATTAAAAACAATTCTGCAGTTTATGTTCCAGATGCCTTGAATAATTTGACCTTGATTTTCAGCCTTGCTTGAAGAAGTTAGAATTGTGTTGCCTTCCCTTTCCAATAAGGGGAATGTAATAAAACTAAAGGTGCACTTGTTCAGTCACAGCTGGATTTGATATTGGTAATTTGTGTAATTAAGAGTTTAAAGTGAAGCTGGCTTAAAGGAGCACAGAACTGGCCCCACCACTTGCTGCTTTGTAGTTCAGGGAGTGATTTGTATTTTAAACATTTGTCAGAAGTCCTGGCAGAGCTCTGGACTAACTCTTCCTTTTTGGTTTGCTTTTTAAGGTGCCGCCTGAATTCTCACTATGTCTGATGGGGACTACGATTACCTCATAAAATTCCTAGCGCTTGGTGATTCTGGAGTAGGAAAGACCAGCCTTCTTTACCAGTATACAGATGGCAAATTTAATTCCAAATTCATCACAACAGTGGGCATTGACTTCCGGGAAAAAAGAGTGGTGAGTTTGTATGAAGAATGTGCTACTTGAAAATGGTGGCTGTCTGCATGTAGGCCTGCAATCAGTGTTACTGTGTGCTTCATTTTGTGACAGGAAAGGCCTCATCTGACCTGGCTATTTTTGTCATTGCTGTGTACAGACCCATTTCCCCAGAAATTAAAGAGCTGATTCTAAGAAGCCACTTCTTTCTGCTCAGTAGGTGTTGATGAGTGTGTCTACTCTGTGACTTGTGCACACAGTATCTGGAGTAGCACTTTTACTGTTGAACTCCTTTCACAAGGAAGGGCTGAACTGTAGTAAAATGTTTTTGCTGGGTATGAACTGAAATGGCTACTGAAAAAAGGTGCAGTTTTTTAAACATGTGGATGAAAAGCTATATGCAGCTGATCTGGCTTCCTAAGCAGTCACCACTAGCAGAGAAGAATTATGAAATACAAGGTTGGTTTCTTTTAACCCCTGAATTGTTATTAAGCTAAGCAAATGTACTTTGATATGAAGCTGAGCACTAGAATATCATAACAAGTTAGATGATGGTCCTTACTGCTCTGAGAAATGGAGTTGGCAGAAGCTTTTTATTCTTATGTACAGGTATTAAATGTCTTTCCACATTTCCTGTGTCCAGAAATCTGGATGGTGTCATGGGCATTGTGCAGACTGGTTTTTGATGCATAACATACACCACAGTAGTTCAAGGACTAGATAGCTTAGTTAAATGCCAAACTGGTCTCTTGAATAAGTCATTGTTCTTTTTGTGGGATTGTAAACATGGTGGTTTACTTGATCAGCATATTTGATAACTCAGGATAAGGTTTAGGCTTCAGAGCCTGAATCTTCTAATACATAAACTTGCTGAATTTGTGGAATTCTGTTTGTAGCTTAGATACAATAACATTTGAAGGTAACGAAGATGACTTAACTTGAAGCATTCTAAACAAGAAATGAAACTATTTTTATCTGATCCTTCCAAGACTAATAGATGCCCTTATTTATTTTTTCATGCTGAGCAAACGCTGCAGCTTTTATTTTTATCATCCAATTTCTGCTTTATAAGCTGTGATCTGATAAGATCTACCCTCAGCAATTTTTCAGCAGCATTTTGGCAGCTAAGTAGAGATGTCATTATCTCTTGAGTATATCCTGTTTGCTAATGAGGTTCTGCTACTGCTACAAATACATTGCCAGATTGCACTGTTGCTTTCTTATGTTTTATTTTGAACATGATGTAAGGTAGTAAAAAAACCAGAAAATCATAATACAAAAATTAATCTTGTCTCACGGCTCTAAATATCTGTCTGGAGTCCCTAATCTATTGGGCCCTGGTTGTGCAGTTTTCCTTTTACCCTTATTTTTAAATATTTAATTGGATGCAATATTAAAATGCATCTTGTACTACTTTCGCCTTACAAAGCAGAGGATTGAGTTGTAGTTGCGATCTGTGCATCAGCAGTGCTAATTTTGCTGCATTTAATGCCTTTAAATGTCAGTTCTTTTGTGTTCTATTGCAGCTGGACTGGTAACAGTCTTGCAAATTTACCTTTTCCAGGTGTACAGACCCAATGGGCCGGATGGTGTTGGTGGCAGAGGACAGAGGATACATCTTCAGCTCTGGGACACTGCAGGGCAGGAAAGGTAGGCCCAAGATCACAATGGGAGCTTACTTTAACAGCAATGGAAAGCTTCCTATGAGTACCCATTAAATTCTAACTGTAATTTACAACTGTAGAACACAAAACCTGTAATTCTTGCTTTTTAGTCTTTTTTTTTCATAGCCAGCACATACAGACACTTTTAAAGCTTGTCTTTTTAAAGTTCTCTTAAGTTTCTGTAAATATGTCGATGTCTTGGGAAAGTCAGAAAGGCAAAAGCATCTCAAAGGATTCTTTTCTTTTGGCCTATCAGAAGACTAGCACTCTTGTGGTTGTTAGTCTTAAATTCATGGACTGATGTGTATAGGGGATAAATTTTTGTTCAAAGTTAGAATTTCATTATTGTTTTAATTTTTGAATCTTGATCAAGGCATGCTTTATAGTAGAAGACTGTTTAAAGCTCTCACACTCATGGCTTCTTGATGCCTTAGGCCTTGATTAGGCCACAGTAATGTTAGCAATTTTTCTTACACAGTCCCTGCCTCATCAAAACAACTATGAATATTTCCTTCTGGTTCGTTCAGTCTTAAGTTACCTCAGTTCTTCTATAACTTTAAGCAATTATGTTTTCAAAGTAACTTTTCAGATGAGCAAATTAATTTCACTTTGCTGGTCTAGGTTTCGTAGCTTGACTACAGCTTTCTTCAGAGATGCCATGGGGTTTCTTCTACTCTTTGATCTGACGAATGAGCAAAGCTTTCTGAATGTCAGGAACTGGATAAGTATGGCTTTTTTTTCCCTTTCTTTGCATGGGTGGAATGGGGCATGGGGGTTATGTTTGTAAATATGGAGTCTCACTGAGAATTAGAGCTTAAAATACATGGTTTTATGGCTTTCTCAGTAAAATAATGTAAATGTATTATAATTGTAATAGCTGCTAATAGGGGCTCGCCTGAAATTCAGCTTTGCCTACTAAACTTGGATTTTAACCTATATAAAAGAAAGCTGAGACAGTATCCTATTCTTGACTCTGGTACTGTTCAGTAATTTAAGTGTGTGGGAAGCTTATGCAAAAGTATTTTGAATCACCTGAAGCTTTGTCAGCAAAACTTAAATGGAAGGCAAATGTTACTTGGCTGGTATATCTAGGCAAAGGAATTCCCAAACTGCATCATCCATCTGGAGAGGGAAGCAGATCCTTTCCTGGCAGCTCACTGTAGATGCTTAGTGAGTGTAACTCCTTCAGCTGCAAATGCACAGGTTTCTGTGCTAACTTTGCCAGGCTTCTGTTTCCCTGGGTTTTTCACTGGGTATGTGACAGTGGAAGCCCACCTGTTCTCTGGCTCCTCAGTGCCAGTGGAGAAGTGCTGTGGGCCAGCAGAGCAAGCGTGGTTTGTGGTAGTGTTCCTAGGGAGCTGTGTGTGACAGTGACTTGTGACCCCTCTTCATGTTGGTGCTGCCAGGTCAGCTACAAATGCATGCGTATTGTGAAAACCCAGACATTGTCTTATGTGGAAACAAGAGTGACCTGGAGGACCAAAGGATGGTGAAGGAAGAAGATGCTAAGGAACTTGCAGAAAAATATGGGTAAGTAACTTTCTTCCAATTATTGCTGTGTTTTGGGCAGAATGAGATATTTTCTGTAATGCTTTTTTCTGTATCCTGAAAGGTTATTGTGAGAATAAGCATTTTAGAATGCTTAAATGGCTGGTATTAGACCTTTTTTCTGTCTGAGATTATTATTTTCTGCATTGCTTAAAAATAAGTACTTAGTATTACAGTAATCTTGCACTGGAGATTGGGTAATTTTATTTGCTTGGCAGTAAACAGTGTAAATTTTCACAAACATTCTGGAAAAGAGAGAGTTTGGAGAGGCAGGTGAGTAATGGGGTCACTTCTTTGCTCTTACCTGTGCTGAGGAATCTGCAATCTCACAGGCTCCCAGGGAGTCTGAAAACTGAGTCAGACCAGTAGGAAAACAGGGTAGCCTTGCCCTTCCCCTTCCTGCCAGGCACATGTCATGTGCCGCTGAAGGAAGTATGTGAAATCTTTGTTCCCATCAGATATTAATTTGTACTTTTATACTCCCTTAACTCTTTCATGGGGCTTATCTTTGGATTACTGTTGCATTTCACTGAGAATCAGAAACACATTTCTGAAGGAAATAGTCTGACGTGTATGTTGTGTTAATTCACATAGTGGAGAAATTTTCTAGCACATGAAATGGATTCCTTCTCAAATGAAAGCTAAATTAAATGATGTTCTCCAACCACTAATCCACCTTTGTCTGGAGGGACAGAGTAGAACTGCCCCAAAGTAAAGCCCACAGGACAGGCAGTAGTGGGAACACTGGCTCCTCAGTGCAAGCTGTCTTGTTCTGCAGGTCTTCTGCTGTCTCATGATGTTTAGTAGGCACAAATTAGCTTGTCTTGGCCTCGAAGAATCATTGGGGGCAAGTCAGAAGCCATCTGAGACAGAAATGTGTTTAGTGCAGTTATGCTTGCTTACTTTTTCCTTCTGTGAAAATGGTTGTTTGAAGTCAAGTCCATGTCACACAGACAACAGCAAGTGCATATGGTACTTTAACCAGCTGCTTGTGAAGGAGCAAGAAGTTTTAAGCAGCAGCAGATAGCATGTGATCATATCTTAAATCTCTTTGCATGTGACTTCTGAAAATAACTTATGAAGTATTTATCTTTGTGGCTGAAAATGCAACTTAATTTAGGAATAGTTAGCTAAAAGCCAAGGTTTTGGGTCACATCCAATCCTTAGGCAGTTACAAAGTTCTCTGCCCTGTAGAGATGAGACAGAATGGCTGCTAGGAGTCACTTTCTCTTGAGGGGAGGCAAGATAAATCCTGTTGCAGTGAACAGTCTTCTGGTAACTAAAGTGTGAGATAGTGAATGTGGAAGGGCCTCATATGGATATGTGATGTATTTGAAAGAGACTGCAAGAGACCTGCACAGACACAGCAAGAGACTTTTTGTCCACTCATTGGGTCTTGCAAGTAAGAAATACTTAAAATTCTGAAGTGATGGTATCAGTTTCCTGGGCAGTAACACAAATGCAGCCACTGTAGCACCACACTGTGGGGAGCACTAAGTACAGAAGCAACAACCCATGGACCCACAGTGGAACATCCTGATCCACAGCAATAAAGAAACAAGCAATGTACTTTAGAAACCAAGGTGCCAAAAACTTTCCTTGACAAAGACATAGGTGTGCTGAGCGCTGAGATTTCTTATTTTCTGTAAGAAAGTTTAGAGTTGTGGTGTCAATATAAGAAAGTCACCTTCTGTAGTGATGAGTACCCCCACACTGTGAGTCATCAGTGCCTTGCCTGCAGAGGAATGGCCGTAGCAGCATTCCTTCTCCTGCAATTACTTTATATGTCCTTGTGTGCACAAGGGTTCTTACTGATTTCTATGCACATCAGCTCTGGAGTAACTGCATCTCTTGCAGGGAACGGAGTTTAACAAAACAGACCTCAGGAGCACAACTTTGGGATATCATGCTGACAAGTGCCTCTATAAATTGTGGACTCCATTAACATTTGCCCTTCTGCCCTACCTTCACTCAGCCACTTCATTAATTTCTTTTGCATTTCAGACCACTGAGCACTTAGTGTCTCTCTGCTATGGCGTAGCAGTGACAGTCTTAGTGTGAGCTCTAAGTATGTGGCAGTAATACTGTTACTGTTTTTTCTCCCACGAGTGACAACTGTGTGATGTAAGGCTATACGTTTTGTCTCCTGCAGAATACCATATTTTGAAACCAGTGCGGCAAATGGGAATAATGTAAGCAAAGCCATTGAAACTCTGCTTGACCTCATAATGAAGCGCATGGAACGATGTGTGGATAAATCCTGGATCCCTGAAGGGGTGGTGCGCTCCAATGGGCACAGCTCTACAGAACAACTGAATGAGGAGCAAGAAAAAGGCAGATGTGGCTGTTAGCCCAGTTACAATTAACTTTAATGTGTATGATACAGTACAGTTGCAGCTTACCTGTTTAACTTTGGGAAAAATTGCTTTGTGTAGTTATTTAATGAGCTATATTAATTCTTGATACGAATTTTTATTTGCTTTCTCTCAAACAACATTGATCTCCACTTGTAAGGTAGGCAGTTTATTAGCTGTGGGACAGAGATTTAATTTGGTTTAGCACTGGATGTTCCTCTAATTCTCTGCTTGGGGGGAAAGGGGACAAAAGGAATTTTCATTACCAAATTCAGAAACATGTCTCTATGGGCAGAAAGGGTAGGCTTCTGTGTTGAAGGGTTTGCAGTTGCCCTTGGCAGTCTCCATTAACTACACAGAGTAGGCATTTAGATTAGATATTGTGACAGCTCTTGGTGTCTCCTAACAGCAAGATAACCAACTCGCTTCTTGGTTTTAAACAGAAACATTTAATAATTTTACCAATTAATAACAATCTTAAAGAGCACATCCTATGTTTTCCACAAAAGCCTGAGAGTAGTTTTTCCTTGCTCTCCTAATCCATCAGTTTTCAGTGATGAAAACCAAAGGGAAGCACTTCAGTGCAGAATAAAAAGCTCCAGAGAAGCACAGGGGTGTGCACACAGAGCACTTGGGGCATGTCATGTAATTGAACATGTAAACTACAACTGTACTACATGAAATACATCCAATGCAGTCTAGGAGAGACCTCCTAACATCACATGAATTTCTAGAACATGCATGTATGTAAATTTATAAGTAAATGGTATAACTGTGCATCTGTTATGTTTGTTTCATACTGCTACTCAGATTTTAACAGGAATGTAGGGCAACCTAGATTTCAGGAAAATTTCATCAGAGTTGGTGCTTTGCACTGAATTTGTTTTACCAAACACAGATTGAGAATGTTTCTTCAAATTTGGATTGAGAAAGGAGTGATTATTGCCTTCTGGTGAGATGCAGCTAAGATACTAGTCCTGTAGATCAGTATTTCTATGAATTTATAATGCTCACTTTATTCTGCCAACCTTTGTGTCTTGAACATCTTGCTTATCATATAGTAATTTATGGCTTGTTAATTTCCTTTAGATTGTATTTTAAAAAGAAAATACTTTCTTTTCTTTCCCCTCAACTACAGATCATATAAATGTAATTTTTGTTTTCAGTGGATCATGTTACTCTAACCATTTTTATTTATTCATGTGACCTAGGATACAATCAGTATTTTTTGGGCTTTTGCTCAGACTGATTTATAAGATGTGCCTACCAAACTGTTTTCTACCCTGGCAGAGGTTGTATAATTGTAAGGTATTGCCAATTAAAGTCATAACATGCCAAATTGAGTCTTGTTACAGACCCTTCAGAGCAGCTTGTTTACAGAACTCCAAAGCTATTGCTTCTTTAGAAATTATGTATTTATTTATTTAAATATTCTAACTACTGCAGTTAGAGGCAATTATTGATACCAGTTACAAACATGAATTGCAGCATAACAAAATTTTTGAAGGAAGGACCAAAAATGTTTCTAGAATAAGATCTAAGGAAAATAAAAGATTTGATGTAGCTTCTGGTTATATTAATTAATACAAGAATAAGTGTTTAAACTTGGTTCTTAAAATATTTTACACAGTAATGCATTGTTCTTTAACAAACACAATGTGTAAATATTAGATTTTTATCACAGCCTACACAGAATATTTTAAAAGTGCAATATAATTTGACTGCTCTGGGGCTAGGATAGAGATAAAAGAAATTTATATGAGTATAGGGTTTTGGTTTTTTCTACTCCACTTCTAAAATGCTTGTAGACCGGAGTTACTGTAGTTTAATTCAGAGTGCCTTTTGAAGTTACCATCATGTTTCTGACCAGTAGAGTAAGAAACTCTAGTGTAAGACACAATACATTTCAATGTACTTCAGTGTCTGAATTTCTTTTAATATAACTCTTTGGTTTTCAGAGGGTTGTAGTGGAACTTAGTCATGCATTAACTTAAAATGGGAGTTTTCACGCTTATAGCTCCATCCAGTTCCTGAAAACTTTAAGGATTATCGCAACCAGCTATTGAGCTAAGTGACTACTGAAATAGTGTAAAAATATTTCCTTTTGAATACTTATGTTTAAATTGGATATTAAATATTAAATACTGAAACTGTCATATTTGTGTCATGCCTATTATTTGTAACTATTTACAAAGAGGATCTGGATAACATTGCTTTGATGTCAACCTTTGAAATGTGCCATAAGATTTATCTGTTTGAATTATTGTGTGACAAAACTTTTGTTCCCTTTTAAACTCTCATGAGAAATCACAGTAAATATTTCTTGACAGTAAATTACGCTGCTCTTACTAGACTAGTACAGGTTTTAAGAAACAAAGAAACAAGAATTCTGAGGTGATGTGAAACTGTTATTTCAAGAAAAGTTGTTTCCATTTAGTGTCAGATGGAGACATTGATCTGTAATTGAACAAAGTTTTTGGAAAGTGTTCCCATTAAGATGGATTGTCCCAGGATTTCTTACAATAATATAAAATAGCTAAACATTCCTGACGTGAACTTTGCCAGCACTGTTGAAGTGAATTGTAACAGTTCAGTTCCTGTTGTCTTGGTTCAATGTCAGTCCGTGTCCTGCACTGTCCCTGTGTGTTGTGAGGGTTCTTTGTTCAGATGTGTCCAAGGGCTGTGCTGTGGTTGAGGTTCTTCTTGGTGACCCTCGTTTGCACTGACCAAACCCTTCAGACAGGGGCCTGGCGAATGCTGGGTGATGCCAGGAGGAGCCCAAACCCAGAGAAGACAATGGAGATGTCAGTTCTGTGTTCATAGGACATTCAGAATGCTGCTGCTCTGAGCGTGTTGCATGTTCAGAGCAAAGGGAATCTAGCAATACATTTTGTCAACTTTATTGCTTCTACAAAGGTAAGGAGCCTGATTTTTCAGAGTAACTGCTTCCATCAAGAGCAGTGTCTATTACCAGATAGGTTATAATGTGCTGGAGGACATTGCTGCTATTGGAAAGTTCCTTGACAGGCAAGAGAATGAGCTGAACTAAACCTCATTCAGTTTAAACAGGGCAAGTGTCAAGTGTCTCTGGGTATTCCACCTGGGCTGCAATACCCCTATTCAGTAGTGCTAGCTGAAAAAACATGTTTCAGATAAGGGGATGAGCATCCTTTTCCAGGCTGACCAAAACACAAAAGTGTGTTGCTGCAGCAGAGAAGGCCAGCTGTATCCAGGGCTGCAATGAAGGCAGCAGGTTGGGAAAATCAGGCTTTCCTTATCTTGAGTAATTGTAAGATTGATGAGTTCTGTGCCCTGGTTTGGACACCTCAGTAGAAGAAAGACATTGATACAGGGAGTGAATCCAGCAGATGCCACCAAGATCAGAGGGCTGGAGCACAAGGGGTAGGAAGAAACAGAACAGTTTACTTAGCTTTAAGCTAAGGGAGACCTTTCTGCTATCTTAAACTCTAATGGGTGGAGCCAGACCCTTTTCAGAGGGCACAGGGATAGGAAAGAGGCAAGAGAGAAATGTTCTCTAGAAAATTAAGATTAAATAGTAGGAAAAGATTGCCACCATACAAGTGGTCAGAAATTGGAACAGGAACTCAGGAAAGTTATGAAGTCTTTGTCTTTGAAGACACTAAAAACTGAAGTGCATGTGTCCTTCAGCCTGGTATTAGTTTGTTCTGCTTTGAGCAGGGCTTTGCTCTAGATGACCTCCAGAAGAGTCTTCTACCCAATATGATCATATGTGTCTGAACCTGATCCTACAAGGGCATTTACCTGACAGTTGTTTATTCTTTCATATGACTGTATGACAGTTCTTTTACTTCTATTAGGAAACTTGTACAAGTATGTAAATACTTGCAGATCAGAGCTTTGCTATGAGTTTAAGGTAGTCGAGTAGAGATGCTTGATTTAACAGTTCTTGCTGTAGTAATCTGTGTTAAAACAAACGAGCCACTTAGTTTGCTGCAAAATCTCTTATTCCAGTGAGGCTGTTTTTCACCTGGATACCTAATTCTGTCTGTGAATAACTATCAATGGAGTAGAAGTACATACTGGATTTCTATAATTAATCTGGATTCTGTCACCAGCAGCCTTAAACCTCTATTGCCTTTTAGTAAGGAACAAGCACTTCAAATCTACAGCACAATGGCTTGTAGAGGAGATTAGTGCTTTGATGAAAAAAAAAAAAAAAAGAGCTGGCAGGGATGATTTAGTGGTAAATGCTTGTACTATCACTGTGCACTCACCTCCTGTCTGCTGGATGTATTGGTGACAGTCTGTAATTCAAAGTGTTTAAACTATAGAAGCCACCAAATGCTTCACAACCCAGTGCTCTGCCAGGAAAAGTGAAATAAATACAGCCCATGGGGAAAAAAATGGCACAGGCAGGAAACTCAAAGCAATCAAACCGAAAAAGAACAGCCCGAGACCTAAGAAAACTTGTTTACTATTTGGTTTTTCCTCTAGCTGTAAACTTGTCTTCATAGCTTCCCTGATAAAACTGGATTGTGTGTGTTCTTTACCGTTTCCTCTTATCACCCAGGTTGCCATCCTCTGTCACAGCCTCAGAGCCCTCACTGCAGTGAGAGCCATCAACAGCCTGGCCACTCCTGTGCTCCAGCCCTGCTCTCCTACAGCAGACGTGGCTAAACTCTGCTTTTCAGAAAGACTGGAGACAGCCTCTGTGCTGATGAGGTGATTCCACTGTGCTAAAGCAAGTTTTCTTTTTTCCTCTGATATTTCTTAATACAGCACCAAGTTGACTGCCTTTCTTTTGTTGTTCTAGAAACAGAAAGCAAATAACTGCTTTAGAAGCACAAGCAATTCAACGCATGGATTTTTCACCAGATACTCAGGTAGTTTATTTCTTTTAAATGGAGAGGCAAGAATTGTGGTGGTAAAGGCTTATGTGAGGAGGACTTCAGACTCAGAGCTGGGACAGCATCCTACAGTTGAAGAATAGAGAGGCCTTCCCAATTCCAAACAATATGGAAGGTACCGGACCTAGGATTTAGGTCCTTTCGCAATAAACAGGTAACTCTAGGAGAGAGAAGGAGTAATGGGTACCTACCTACATGGTGTACAGAACTTTTGGTTTCAGACAGGACTTCAAATTTTGCTTAGATTTTGGATTTTATAGATATGAAAGCAGCACAGAAAGTGTTGCCTGAATTTTACAGTAAATCAACTGTAGACTTAAAAATCTATCTTTTCCTTGGGTTACTGTGTCTATCCTTACGTTCATATCGATTCGTCCCGTTCTCGCCCTTGGAGCACAATTTCTCCCGTGTGGGCCCGGGGCCGGCAGGGGGCGCTGCGGCAGCGCGGCGGGAGCCGGGCCCGCCCCGCGCCGCCGCCTCCGGTCAGCTGGGCCGCGCTTCCGCCGCGCCGCCGCCGCCGCCATGCGCATCGAGAAGTGCTACTTCTGCTCGGGGCCCATCTACCCGGGACACGGCGTCATGTTCGTGCGCAACGACTGCAAGGTACCGCCCGGCCGGCACCGCCCTTCCCGCAGTGCTCGCGGCCGCTCCCTGTGCCGGCGGGCCCCGGCGGGGCTCGGTGTCAGCGGCCGCGCCTCACGCGGGGCGCTCACGGCCCGGGCCGGGCCCCGCCGGGGTACGCGCGCACGGCCGGGTGCGGGGCGGGCGGAGCCCGAGATGAGCGCGGTGCTGGAACAGCGGGGCTGGGGTTCGATCCCTGTTCGGGCCGTTTGCTTAAGAGCAATCCTCGTTGTCAGGCTTTGCCCTCAGGCGGCGGCAGGCCGGGCTGTGGGTAGGGCTGGTGCGGGAGCAGCCACGACTGCGGGATGCGCTGTGGGCCCGCGGCTGCGGCACTGCGGGCTCTGCACTGCCTGACAGCGTGTACACAGAGTGCTGGGGATCGCTCCCCGGCCTCCGCCGCGCTCCCTGCCACTGCTGCGAACCTGCTCAAATCGCTTCCTGCCCGGGCCCGGCCGCCAGAAGGGATCGCGGGCGGGCGTGGGTGCGCGCTGGCACGGGCTGTGCGCTCGCCGCGGCCGCGAGGGCGCTGCTCCGAAACAGAGCACTTGTGACAAGGCAAAGCACCGCCACAGGTGTGCCTGGGTTGAGGTGAAAAAACGTGGTAGAAGAGTGTAAAAAAAAAAATAAAAGAGCTATTCGAAAATAATTGCCGTAATTTAAAGTTTCATATTTTCTGTTAATTTCTTTTAGAATTGACTGTTAGATGGGAAGGAGGATATATGGCTGTAGAAAAATAGGGTTTTCAAAACCTCATGAATAACGTGTAATTCTGACCAGTTTTAAGTGAAGAATCTAGTATTCTGTTGAATATGTAGAAAAATAGGGCAAAAAGAAAAAGGCCAATTAAAACGTTTTGTTATATGCTTTAACAGCTTTCAGTGATTTCAGTCCAGGACTTGACTTGACTAATGCACTTAGGACTCTTGCAGAGTAATCTTCGGGGCTTAAGGCTGCATCCCAAAAAATAGATATTTTAGTGTGTGTGTTGCATTCATATGAGAGGTGTGAGGACTTTTTGTTGCTCTCAGGATGGTACTGTATCTAAAAAGTGTTGGCAGCTGTAGAAAATTGTTTATTCATACTACAGGTTTGGTTTTATGGTTATTTTTGCAGATGATAATTCTCAAAACTCAGGTGTATTTTATGTATAATCAGCTTAGTTGTAAGTACTTGTGCTTAACCCTGGCAGCTGTGAAAATGACTTTATAATGAAAAACAATACTAGTGCTTGAAATGATTTTTGTTAATAGCTGTATTTTCTGTAAAAATACTGGCATTTGGAAACTGAATATAATTTCTAATGAGCAGTATTGTTAGTGTAACCTCAGTGTTTGATATCACACTTGCAGTGGGCCACAAATAACATGATTTAACTAAGATTTTTCTTCTTTATTGTCCCCTTCTTTAAGATATTTAGATTCTGCAAATCAAAATGCCACAGAAACTTTAAAAAGAAGCGAAATCCGAGAAAGATGAGATGGACTAAAGCATTCCGTAAAGCAGCTGGCAAAGAACTGACAGTGGTAAGAAGCTGAACTGGTTCCCACTTTACATTAGAACACTAAAATGGCTCTTCCTGTGGCACACAGGCTGGCTAGGTGCCTTAGAGCATTGTCATTTAGTGAAATGAGCTGGGGAGAAGAGGG